AGACATCGAGGACAAGTATAAAATTTAAAAGGGTTCTCTAAGGTGGTGGTTGGTGGGGGGGGGCAGGTAATATGAGAGCTCTTTGTGCTGTTCCTATAACTTTTCTGTAAGTTTGAAATTGTATAAGGATGAAAAATACTTACTGCTTTTTGCAAAAATGCAAATATGATGTAAAATTATAAAAGCACCTTGAGTTACAACACTTAAAGACATGAGTAAAAATATATTACAATTAAAGTAATAAGTAATCAACTAGTAAAAATAACTTTGCTTTTGGATAATTTTCTTTGAACTGGAGACAATATAAAAATTAGAGGCCGGGTGTGGTGGCTCACGCCTGTGTAATCCTAGCACTCTGGGAGGCCGAGGCGGGAGTATCACTTGAGCCCAGGAGTTCAAGACAAGCCTGAGCAAGGGCAAGACTCCATCTCTACTATAAATGGAAAGAAATTAGCCAAACAACTAAAAATAGAAAAAATTAGCCAGGCATGGTGGTGCATGCCTGTAGTCCCAGCTACTTGGGAAGCTGAGGCAGGAGGATTGCTTGAGTCCAGGAGTTTGAGGTTGCTGTGAGCTAGGCTGACACCACAGCACTCTAGCCCAGGCAAGAGAATCAGACTGTGTCTCAAAAAAAAAACCAAACAAACAAAACAAAAACTAGTCAAAATGCTGTCAAATAAGCAGAAGCAGGCCTAATTCACCAAAAGAAAAAAATTGGAAAAAATAAACCCTAAACATGAACCCCAACCCCCAAGCTCTTCTAAGACATAGTCCCACCACCAAATATTCATTCTCAACCAATTTGGAAATAATACATTAAGTGTTCTTCTAAACTTCTATTGTGTGCAAACAAAACACACATGGCTTGTATAATTGTACAGCCGAACACCTTAGAAGCAGTTTTGACACACTTTGGACTTTGTCACAGAGATGGAAGCTGTCACTAACCAAACTCAGGATCCATACCAAACATCCCTTGAGCTTTGAGGTGACAATTCATTCGGCAGTTCCGGTTCTGTCCGATAGACGTTAAGTGTGGAGGGCCATTAACAGGTAAGCCTGTGATGGTTAATTTTTTGTCAACTTGACTGGGTGAAGGGATGCCCAGATGGATGGTAAAATGTTATTTCTAGTGTGTCTGTGCGGGTGTGTCTGGAAGAGATCAGCATTTGAACCAGCAGATTAAGACTGCCCTCACCAATGTGAAGCAGCACCACCCGTTCTGTTGAGGGCCCAAACAGAACAAGGAGGCAGAGCTAATTCCCTTTTCTTGAGCTAGCATGTCCATCTTTTCTCATCCTTGGACATCTTGGGCCTTAAACCAGTGCACCCTCCCTCCCACTCTGAACTTTCTCAGGCCTTTGCTTTGGACTGAATGACACCATTGGCTTTCCTGGTTCTCCAGCTTGCAGCCAGAATATTGTGGGACTTCTAAGCCTCCATAATCACTCGAGCCAATTCCCATCATATATCTCCTCATTTTTCTGGAGATATATACAAAGCCCATCTAAAGAGCTAATACAAGTGGAGGATACAGCTTTTCGATCTTTCCATCAAGGCACGCGTGATACTAGTACAACACATTGGGCAAAACAGATAAGGCTGCTTGGAGTCGGGGCTGAGGCGGCCAAGTTCCCCAGCTGCCTTAAAACCATCCCATGGGCTGGGGAGAACCACTTATCTCCAAACCGCTAAACCTTTGCAAGCTGAGCTGGAAGTTCTGAATGGGAAGATGAGGAGGGGCTAGACCAAAGGCAACAAGAATGAAGTTTGACTGAGACACGAGGCAGAAGACTGGGATGACTGTTTTCCAATTTGTGCTCCTGGAAGCCAAGTTGAGTTGTACCTGTTAAAGGATCCGTTGCTATCAAGATAAAATGTATCTGTCACAGTATTTCAAGCTAAAGGCAGAGATCATTTTGGTACCCACAGTACCACACACATGAAGCAAACCTGTCATCACTGTTCTTTGGTCCTCCCAGCCTCCTTTCCATGGTGAAAATCCTAATTGAAGGACCGCTGCTTTCCAAATCCAACTACTTCACCATAGTGAAGGCTCTTTACACCCAATTTGTCACTCTTCATCACTGCCCTTGCAGTTCCTCAAGCATTACTGATGATGCTTTTTCCTAGCAAATCCAAGATTTCACTCTGCTTCATCACTGCCCTCCCCATCCTCCCATCCCCAAACCAGTTTTGGAAGCTATCCTGCCACCAAAACAGGCTCAACTGCCCTATTCCTCCTCTGGGGTTCCACCCACTCTCTTCTTCCAGCAGTGGTTAAGGTGCTTCCTCCAACTGACCCCACACTGATCCCAGGGCCTAAGGATTCCCAGATGTATTCATGACTTTTTTGTTTTTGTTGATTTATCACTATGCCAGGTCCTTTTGAAAGTGTGCTCAGTGCTGAACTTCAATTTCTTATTCTAAGAACAAGAAATAGTGTAGTAACAGCAAACAGTAATTTTCAAAGTAGTTGCTTAGACACCACTTGGTTAGCACATCAGGCACACAGTGCTCCTTTCCTTTGCGAGTGGATAATGGGGCGATACGACTCCTCTGGAAAGAGCCTGTAATGGCCACGTGGAAGCCAAACTAAACCTAGGACCTGAAGTCAAGAGTCCAAGAATGCCAGAAAAGGAATAAAAGCATCATACACTTTAACATATGACAGACGAGTCAGTTTAGAAAGGGGCTGACAAACTTTTTCTGTAAAGGGCCAGACTGTAATTATTTAGGCTTTGCAGGCCATACGGTTGGCTGCAACTATTCAACAGCAAATCTTTGGAGCACAAAACTAGCTATAGTAGTATGTAAAAAAATGAACACAGCTCCGTTTCAATAAAACTTATTATGGACACTGAAATGTAAATCATAACTTTCAGGTGGTAAGTCATTTAAAAATGTAAACACCATTCTGAGCTCATGGACCACATAAAGGCAGTGAGCCAGACTTGGCTCATGAACCTTTAGTCTGCCAGACCCTGGTTTATAAGAACAAAGTGGAAAATGGACAAAGGAGGCCAACTGAAAGGACGGGTACCTGAATCTCATGGCTAGAAAACCCACCAAAACAGACTTGGTCAGAAAATACTCACTCCCCGATACTGCTTACTTTGGACAGAATATTTTTTAGCAGCCATAGGCTGGCTGATATAAGGCAAGTATGGAAAAACGGAATTCTACTGCAATCTCTAAAACCCCTCACGAACCTTGACTTACAGCTCATCCAGTATTCTACCTCTGTGTGGATGTGTTAGTTGAGAAAAAACCCAGGAGATCCAATAAAATTGATCCGTGCCTGGGCCTCCTATATACTGCATTCACCAATTACAGAAGAAAATAGAAGTTAACGTTGACAGAGGTGTTGCTAACTTTCAATCTAAGATTCTATGTGATAGAATCATTCAAAAAATGAGAAATGCAATGCTGGATGTATTGAAAATATTTTATACTCAGTTCTCTAGAATGCTAGCCAGCCAGTACAGGAAAAAAGAAATTATACTGGAACACTTTGGTATTTTTAAACAATAAAAGAAATATTTGACTAGAGGATAGCATAAGAATTTTACAAATACAAACTTAGGCTTCCTCACATTTCCCACAGAGCAACTAAACAATAAAAATATTTCAAGAAATAGATGACAGTATACCTCAAATGCAAAATTCCACAGTCAAACAGCCACTTACACAAAGAGATTTAACAAAACTGTTTGTAAATTAAACAGTAACAGCAAAAGGCACAAAAGCCTATTTCTTTTATGGTGTCTTGGTTGATTCACTAAGAAGCAGACAAAGAAATTACTGTAAAGAACGGTCAAAACTTGGCCTGAGCTGTCTTCTGGTAATTATTAATCCTACTATCTGTAGATTTGTTGTCCAAGGACAAAAGCTCCATGCCACCAACTTCACCTTCCAGAGAAAAGAAGCGGCTGCTGCTGGGGTTTTTTTTTTTTTTCCTCTTTCCAGTTTTTCTCTGGGTTCTGAGCAGTAAGGTAGCAGATAGAATGTCATAAAATAAATGAAAGTATTCCATTATTTGACCAGAAATGCCACCCTTTTTCCCAACTCATTGCTCTGCCTTGAAAGATGTATCGTATTTATAAGTCCTCATTGAATTCTCCTGAGACATTATGCATGATCCATTATAAAACATACAGGTAATACAAAGTCCAAAAGCCTGTCAAGTTTATGGAATAAACACATGAATATTAAACATGATACACTGTGAGGGAAATCACGGTTTGATTTATTTTCATATGAGACAGGTTATGAGTGCATGACGTAAAAGCTTAAAAGTTACCACCAAACTGTGCTAAGGACACTGCAAGAAATTATGCAGGGAGAAATCTGTGCAAATTCATCTTCTTCCTCAGTATCAGATGATTAAAAAATTTTTTTTCTTTAAACAATCTTGTTTATATTCAGGAAAACAGATTTGAAAAACTGAACAAGTAGAAATCTGTCTCCTCTTTATAATCAAATAACAATGCCAATGAAGGAGACCCCAAAGAAAAAACTGAAGATGAAAAAAATCCAAACAAAAGCCAACACTGCTATTAAGATTTTTCTTTTAATATGCCATGAGATAGCTTGATTGTATATTTTCCAAAGTACTTTTCCAGCCACATCTTCCCACCCTTCCAAGAGATTTAACCAGTCTTTTCAATGCAATAAAAGACGCTGGATTATAGTTCTGTCCACCTTCTCTTTCTGAAAGCAATATAATACTAATGACTTTAATGGTAATACACTCTTATCTAATAAAGAAAAACATTTACAAATATCGGAAACCCAGTTTTGAAACATTTGCATTAATTTTGAACTGAATCAGCATTTTGTGGGTTTTAAAAAAAGGCAGAAGTTTGACTCATGACTTGCTGATAGACACATTTCTGCTGAGGGAAGGGGAAGGAAGGGACAGTAAATGCTGCATTTCTCCATTGGCCCCAAAGGTGCTAATTTTACAAAGGGATACATCAAAAGCAAACATGCAATGGTTGTTTTAAAACCTTTACTGCAATATAACAATGAAGTAAACAGTAATTAGACACCTACCAATTTTTTCCCCAAAACAAAAAATGTAAACAGGAAAATAACTCTGCCTATTCTTGTACAGCTTTTCAAATCATGTTAGAAGGGTCTCACATTCAATGATCAAGAAATTTTAAAATAGCAGTAATTATTTTCATCTTAAGAAAAGTTTCCCTTTCTCCCCTCCCACCCCAAGTATTTAACATGAAAGAATGGGCTTCCTTACACATTAATTTTATACTTATTTGTGAAGCAGCAACAATTAACCATCAATAATTTGGCATTTCCATTTACAGTTGCTACAAAATTTTTTAAAATTTCACAAAGCCATTATCCAGTGTTGCCACGAAACAGAGACTGTAAATTCTAGGTAGCAAAGATTCTTTCTGAAACCAATGTTAAGTCAAAGAAATATAAAGCAGGGCATTACACTAAGTTTCTGGATCTAGTACACTAAAAAGAGTGAAACCTAGGAAAAGTTACCTACTGTTTTATAGAAGAAATAAAGACCTGCAAAAGCTGATTTTTGGTTGTATAATATTTTACACACTGTGTGGAGTCGCGGCATCTGCTAATTGCAGCAGACATGCACTGTATTTATCCCTGCCCTATATCCTAGATCCCTCCCTCCCCACCCCTGACAATCTACTACCTTATACCAAGTATTGTGGATATGAACCCAAGTCATCCCAGACAATCCAGTGAACAAAGTTAGTGTAATGCACTGGTGTGATGTGTGAGATACAAAAAAGTCCCTTTCAATCTTCATCAAAGTTCTGCTGTAGAAGAAAATTGGCAGCCAAATTCTCATTCTTCTCACAAGCAAAATATGCTTGTATCACAAGTCCTTCAGGAAATCCTAATGCCTTTAACTGGAAGAAAAGAAGGAAAAAATATATAAATCCAACTCACCGATTATGGCACATTTAATTTTCTTTACATATTATAGATTCCAGCATAGCACTACTAACAGACCATTACTTAAAAACATACTACAATCCAAAACAGCTCTTGAGAATTTTACATGAATACATCTCTATCTGAATATGGATTTACTGTTCAACTTGAAGGGCTAGATGGAACCTAGACACTTTCCTTTAACAACCACCTAAGAAAGTCTTTGTTCCTAAAGCTATTAGACTAACAGATAATTATGCAAACACTCAGTAACACTAAAAACTAGCTAACTTTTGTGTTTTAAAAAGACCCTATAGAAATTTGTAAATCAAATGATTTTTAGCATATTAAGGGTGAAAATAAGGATGAGTGTACCTGGAGAAAATTTTAACTACCTCACTTAAATTACATTTTATTTGTTAAAGCAACTCATGTCTTTCATTCAGATCAAACATCACTCTCAATCTCCTAGCCTTATTCAACACTTCAAATCTGAAAAACAAGTGATTAATTATTAGTTAATATTACACGGTATGTTTTGAAATCAAGACATACAGTGTTGTTCGATTTTTATCTGCTTAACATTTATAGCATGTTAAATGATGATACCAGCGACTTAATTTCACTTTCCTGGTCTATTAAGAATCGCTTGCTTGTGATTCAATACTCACTGCTTTTAAAAGCTTTTAAAAACTTAAGTGAATAACCTAATTCTCTAGGTACTATTATTTGTCAGCCAAATGTTATATATAAATACCCTTTCAAACTGTCTCAATCACCTCGTGTTAGACTATATCCAGAAATGACCTTTAAAACTGGGTGAAAATCCCAATTCAACATAAATAACTATTCATCCATGAAAGCAGAAGTGAAACTCAAAAATGAGTTTGCTATCTAGGTCTTGTTCAGATTAAAGCTAGGCTAGTTGAAATAAAAGACAGGGTACAATCCAACTACCTGCTTCCACAAAACACACACTCTAGATTCAAGACACACGTATCTTGAAAGTAAAAGGATAGAAAAAGATATATACCGTGCAAACAGTAACCAAAAGAAAGCTGGTATGGCAATATTGGACAAAATAGATTTTTAAGATAAAAACTGTTACTATAGAAAAAAGACATTTTATGATTTAAAAAAATGGTCAGGAAGACAGAGCAATTATTAAACCATGTAACAAAAATATTTAATACATGAAACAAAAACCGACAGAATTGAAGGGAGAAATTGACAATTCAACGACGATAGACTTTCAATATCCCCACTTTCAATAACAGATACAGCAGCTAAGGCAAAAGACTGACAAGGACTCTGAAAACTTAAATAACACTATAAACCAACTAGACCTAACAGACATTTACAGACCCCTTAACAAGAGCACATTATACATTCTTCTCAAGTAAATAAGGACAAAGTATGTTCTTTGACCACAATGGAATGAACTTAGAAATCAAAAGAAGAAAATTTGGGAAATTCATAAATAGGTGGAAATTAACACAATCTTAAATAATGAATGGATCAAAGAAGAAACAAAAAGGGAAATTAGAAAATGCTTTTAGACGAACGAAAACAAAAACACAACATACCAAAACTTACAGGATGCTACCTTAGCAGTACGCAGAGGGAAGCTTATGGCTGTAAACAGCCCTATCAAGACAGATGAAGAACCCAACAATAACCTAATCTTTCGCCGTAAAAAAAAAAAAAAAAAAAAAAAGGAAAAACAATCTAAACCCAGAGCAAGCAAAAGGAGGAAAATAATAGAAAATAAATAAAGAGACTAGAAAAACAATAGAATCAACAAAACCAAAAGGAGGTTCTTCTTAAAAAGCTCCACAAAATTGACAAATGTTTAGCTAAACAGAGAAGGGAAAAAAACAAAATTTAAGGACTTGAATTACTAAAATCAGAAATAAATACAGGGATATTACTATTTTTTATAGAAACAAAAACAATATAAGGGAATATTATGTATAACTGCACCCCAACAAATCAGATTATTTCCAACTCATTCTGTGACACCACTATCACCCTGATACCAAAATCAGACAGACATCAAAGAAAACTACTGACCAATATTCTTTTTGAATACAGATGCAAAAATTCCCAAGAAAATACTAGCAGACTGAATCTAGTAACACATAAAAAGGATTATATACAGATTATATACCACTTGAATTTATTCCAGGAATGCAAGGTTGGTTCAACATTACAAAAATCAATCAACATAATAAGGCATATCAGAAGAACAACGGACAAAACCACATGATCATCTCAATAAACACATACAAAAAATGACAAAATCCAACACTTTTTTGTAATAAACACATCGAACAAACTTACAAGGGAACTTCCTCAACCTGATAAAGGGCATCCACAAAAAACCCTCAGCTAACATCATACTTAATGGTGAAAGACTGAATGCTTTCCCCTAAGATCAAGAATGAGACAAGGGGCCGGGCGCGGTGGCTCACGCCTGTAATCCTAGCTCTCTGGGAGGCCGAGGTGGGCGGATTGTTTGAGCTCAGGAGTTCGAAACCAGCCTGA